ATCCCAGGCTCTGGAGCTGCCAGGGGGCCGCAGGCCACTTGCTGGGTGGAATGTAGGAGCTGGGGTGGGGGGGACCTGTGGAGCCAGCTCGCAAGTAGCCTGGGGCCCATCCTGGGCTCTGAAGCTGCTGAGGGGATGCAGGCAGTGTTCCCTCTAAGCTGAGTTAGTGTGAGCCAGCTCACAGGTTTTTTTAGCCTCCAGCTCACACACTTTTGCCTTAGCTCAGGAAGGATAGCTCCAGAGCAAACTGAGTTATGCAGTCAAATCGCTCGCTCACCACTTTAATGCCAGCAGCTCACAGTGTAGAATTTTTGCTCACAGGACCCCGCAGCTTAGAGGGAGCGTTCGCTGTGGGCCACGTGCTGGGTGGGATGGGGGAGGTAGGAGGCCTGTGGGGTTGGCTTGCAAGCAACCCGGGGCCCAGCCTGGCCTCTGGAGCTGCCAGGGGGCTGTGGGCCAATTGTTGGGTGGGGATGGGGGAGGTGAGGGGCCCTGCAGGGCCAGTGTGCAAGCAGCCCGGGCCCTGGGAGCTGGGGGCTGCGGGTTGCTGGGTGGCCTGGGTGGCAAGGGCGGTGAAGGTCCAGAGGGGGCCTCCTCCCTCCCCACCGCAGCTCCTCTCACAGCTCTTACCAACTGCTTTAATCCAATCTCAGCTACACTTATCACTCAGTCACTTACGCATCCTGACTCTAACGAGCCCTTCCGGGCAACTCCCCCCCCCCATATGTAAGGCTTGAGGAAGTCTGTTTCAACGTATCTGAAAAAGTGTGCGTGCACACAAAAGCTTAGACCCAGAATTAAAACTCTGTTGGTCTTAAAGGTGCCCCTGGACGCACACTTGGTTCCGTGGCTTCAGACCCGCACGGCTACCCACCGGAATCTATTTAGCGGAAAGGTTATCCAGGATTTATCTATTAAAGGTTGTCTATCACCTTTGAATCTGATAATACAAACAAGTTAGGTGTGAGTTCTGTTCTTTGAACTAATACCAGCAAAACAGACTGACATTTTTTGGAGACTTTTATGTTTTATTTTTAAAAAGGTCTTTTTAATAAGAAAGACAATAGAAAGTACAGGCACATGAAAATTAACCCTATACTTATTGGGGAGATATAAGCAAATTCCTTATTCAGTCAGGTTCTGGGGATATAATAGAAGAGAAATAGAAACTGTTGAGCACGTACTCTTACACTGTGAATTCTTAAATGACATTCGAGTGGAATTTATAGAAGCCCCCCTTTGGTTGGTAGCAGGCCAATCGGATAGAATCAAGGTACAATTTCTCCTTGCTTCACGAGATCTGGAGATCATTGAACCGACCGCTAAGTTTCTCCATGGTTTTATAAAACGGAAGAGTGACCCTGATCATATTAATGAGTCTTAATTTATAAGTCTAAAAACTTAAGTTTAAAAGTTTAGAATGCCAATTTATTTTATGATTCAGGCATCTTTTGTATGGTCAAATCTATCTTGTGACAACTTGAGTTAGGTCTGACATAGCCACGACTATCTATTTTATAATTTCTTTTGGATTGTATTATTATTGGGAAATGTTTCTAATATTGTATGCCAATAAAAGGTATTTGAATTTGAATTCTATACTTATTGTAAAAACAAGTGCTAATATTATCAAAGTTCCTAACATTTCTTAATCACATTACAGTAAGTAATATTTTAAAAGAAAACTAGGCTTCAGATTTTTGTCTGGCTGGTTTTAGGGATTACCAAATAGACCCAAGTCACACACACCCTCCCAGAGACTTTCTTCCAGGGAAATCTGGTTTGCTTATCATGGTAGGGCCCTTTCATAGAAAAATATCAGTCTTACCTTCCTCTAAAACTCTTCTGTCTTAATCATGTGATTACTATCTAGATAAGTGATTGGTTCTTAACTAGTTAAGAGATAATCAAAACAGGTGCAGATAAGCTAATCAGCAGGTGCAAAGGAGATACATAGAAAATGTCCTTGTTATCTTTTCTAAAGCAAGATAAGAAGATCAAACGTAACTCTTAATCTTAAAAAGCAATTAATCTAACTTTTCTGTAATTATTTCAAGTAACTGTCAAAGATTAAAGTAACCTTAAGCATCTAGAGTTCACTGACGGCTGAAGAATGCATGAACGCACAGTTCACAGGCACGATCAGCAAGGAAGGTGATGATATAATCAGATGCTTGCTACATGCGGAGATGAATATCCCCTCTCCAGCTTTAAATGACAATCGTCCACTGGTGCAACTACAAGTCATCTTTGTTTTGAAGCCAGGCCCGAAGTCTGGTTGAAATGGATCAGAGACAGAAGAGCTGCTCCATCACCACAGGCTACAATCATCACCTGACCCTTAGTCAACAGGGGTCCCCAACCTTTTCTGAGCCTGGTGGCACCTCTGGATTCCTGACACGGTGCGGTGGGTGCAGCCACAAAACAGCTGCATCAGGACAGCCATGAAATGGCCGCTGTGGCTGGCCTGCACTCACACAGTGAAGATCGTTGTGCTCTGCTGCCAGCTGCAGCCAAAGTAACATTGCTAAAAAATCTGCACAGCCCATCAACTCTCCAGTGGCCAATCAGAAGCATTGCTGGGCAGACCTGGCCATGCCCACTTCCTAAAAACACCTGGTGGGGACCAGGAAAGGTGTTGGCAGGTTGCCATGGTACCCACAGACAGCACTTGGGGCCTAATCACTGCTTCCTTCAAAGGCCTCTGGGCAGAGCCTCCTCCGTCAGCAAGGCAAGGCGTGCATATTCTAACCAGAGCCTCCGAACCCTGCAGCATGATTTTAAAGGCCAAGATGGTCACGGGTCAAGAGCCCAAGCGGAGACTCTCATGCCGTCAAGGACCTTGTCAGCATTAATTGGCAATAAAATGACAAGCAGGTGCTTCTTCCGACACCTCAGGTACCATCATCTACTCTCACCTTGGCCTCCAAATCGTAACAGATGAGAGCTATTTGGCATATTTGGTGTCGTGGTTAAGTGCGCGGACTCTAATCTGGGAGAACCGGCTGTGATCCCCCACTCCTCCACTTGCACCTGGCTGGATGACCTTGGGCAAGCCGTAGTTCTGATAAGAGCTGTTCTCTCAGAAGCAGTTTCTGTCAGAGCTCTCTCAGCCCCACCTGCCTCACAGGGTGTCTGTTGTGGGGAGGGGAAGGGAAAGGGGTTTGTAAGCCGCTCTGAGACTCCGAGTGAAGGGCACGGGGTATACATCCAGTCTCTTCTTCTTCAAAAACATCCTAGCTGTGTGTAAAATGTGCAAAGGGGACTCTGATGTAAAGAAGAAGAAGATATTGGATTTATCCCCCCCCCTTCACTACCCGAAGGTGTCTCAGAGCGGCTTACAAACTCCTTTCCCTCCCCCTCCCCTCCCCACAACAGACACCCTGTGAGGTAGGTGGGGCTGGGAGAGCTCTTGACAGAAACTGCTCTTTTTCAAGGACAGCTCTAGTCAGAACTACGGCTTGCCCAAGGTCATCCAGCAGCTGCAAGTGGAGGAGTGGGGAATCAAACCCGGTTCTCCCAGATTAGAGTCCGCGCACTTAACCACTACACCAAACTGGCTCTGGTAAAGTGACCAGATTGTGATGCCAGACACGCGCCAGCAAGAGCCTGAGACGATGTGCCCATGGTTCCCGAGGTTGCCCCATTCCAGATGTATCCCTAGATACATGAAACACTCCAGAACAGCCATCTGCCATTGCTGTCTAAACTAA